GCCAGTTGCAAGCTTTGGTTAAAATTATGTATGCTTTCAGACCCCGGGTGCCAACAGGGAGAACACTATTAGCAGTAACATATTCAGGTTAGTAAAACCAAGCATCTTGCCGGCCACTTGTACGTTCCACATCCATCATAAAAAACCAAGAGTCCTGCCGGCCATCTTAAGGCTGAAATGGTGGCCAAATAGGAGTATTAGAGACTCCCTGCTGTGCTCTGATCTGCTCAGAAATCGTGGGCGGCATCCGGTAGGATGCACTGCACGTCTTGGTTGTTCAGATAAAGCAAATTGCCTAGAGCCGACACGCAAGAACGATTCACGCACAGAGTTTTGGTAGGGAAACTGAAAAGAGAGAGGAAGAAATGACCTGCTGAGCTTGGAAACTCCAACAAGTCATTGCAGGGCTCCTTCACAAATCTACGCGCAAGATTGTAGCTGAGCACAATACTTTTTTTTTCGTGTGTAGCTGGGTACTACTCTCTTTTCCAAAAAATAAATAGCTGGGTACTACTCTGGCCCAGCATAAGGCTGACCAAATTATAATGCTCATTGCTTCAGAAATGATGCACTTTGGTCCAACAAGAATAATTCAGTATAACGCTCAATTGTTTTCAAGGTTCAAACAACTCGATAATTATTCGTGCAGGGTGTTACTCAAATCAACTTCACGATACTAGGAAGATTACGTCCATACCATTCTATAAAATAAAATAAATGCACCATCAGCTAAGATAGACTCTCTGCTACATATATGGATATGATATATCAGGTGCTTGAAGGGCAGCCCTTTACAAAGCAACATACTGTTAAAGGATTCAAGTAAGTGGAAATAAGGGAACTGTATTGGCATGTTTAGTTCTGCAGCTTCTTGCCAAAAAAGAGCAGAAGAATAATTCCATGATTCCAGCCTCAATTCCAGTGACACGAAAAGAGCTGTCAAAAATATTCTTACAGTTACGATTGAAGTCATAAATGAAGGATTATAAATTTGGTCTAGGTGTAATAACCGGCAGATCGATTTGCAGCAAAATATCGATGTGTAACCCTGATCCGCAAGTGACATGTCCGCAGATGCAGATACATATAGCAATCTGGGCGATGCTATCTCGCATGCGTGCGCTGGCACGTTCGATTTCCGACAAGAGCAAACCTTCCTTTTTTGCAAATCAGGTTAGCAATATTAGGAAACACACCGGGCCCCACCCCGTTAAATTCAGAGGGGGGAGAGAAAATTATACTTACGAGAGAGATGCATGTGACAGCGGCCCCGGTGCATGGGTGGACGCCCAAGTGAACGGGGCAACGCTTTGTCATGCTATAAGCGGCACATAGTCGCGCCGCCACATTTCTTATATAGTTTTTATTTTTCTAGTTTGCAATATCTAATCATTTTATGGGATTTGGCAACATTTTACAAATTCATAAACATTTTCAAAATTTGTAAAAAGTTTTTGGAAAGAAAGAGAAGTTTTTGTATTTCAGGAATATTTTATAAATCCATGATACCTCGTTTGGATGTAGATATTCGGGCGTGGAATTCGCAATTGGCATTTGCATGTCCCGAATGCCGCCGTTTGGGTGGTCGAGATATTCATGCATGGAATTCAGTCACAATATCGAATTGGTTTCCGCAAGACTGCCGCGTCCCTCCGCCAATTCGCAGCATACTAGCTCGGTTTTTGGCGACATTCGGCTCGCGCTCTCCCTATGATTTGCTTACCGCTTGGGCAGACGAGACACACGACTAGAGACGATAATCCCAGGCAAAGCTCCACGGCGGCGCAGGTCAGCCCACCCCCCGCCTCGCTGGCTGGCCAGCTTTACTCCTCTCCATGTTGGTCCGCCACGCCCCATCCTTCCTCTGCCGCCACTTCAACTCCGGCCATCTGTTGCATCCCTCTCCCATTCCGGCTTGGTGCGGGAGCTCCTGCTGCCCGACCTGTGCGCCATGGTTAGTCGTACCGCCTCGTCATACTTGCACCGCTCGAGCCCCGTTCGCCAACCGCGTCGGGCAGCTCGACGACGTGCACGGTGCACCAGTACATCGCCACCAAGATCGACCTGCGATCCATGCGGCCGCTCTTCCACAGCGGAGGCGACACAAGAAAGCATGGACAGAGGCGACTACATGACCGACATCTTCGAGGGCAGGGTCCAGTTCATGTCCGTTGCTTGGGAAGACACCTGCCATATGGTGCCCAACAGCTGCTCGACGGAATGCCGGACTATTCGGCTCGGCGTGTTGTGACAGTCCTGGCATGGGAGTGCGGTCACTTGGTGCGGATGACAAGCAGGAGAGAATCCTTTGGTATGGTGGACGAGCATGTTGAATGTGTGGCCGATGGCGCCGGCCAGCATGCCCAGGACGCCGCAAGCAGGTCCATATATGAACTGCAGGCATATGTCGCATCCCCAGCCTTGTAGTACTATGCAGCACCTGACAAGCACCGCTACCCTCCATTTGCTCATTCTACTCGTGACAGCAACATTAATCCTTGACTGTACCAAGTAGGCAACCCGTTCTGATTTACTCGTCGTGGTTTTAGTTCAAATTTGAACTAAAACCACGACGAGTAAATCGGAACGGAGGGAGTACGTACAGAAGTGCAAAAGTATATGCAACAACATCGGTGCAAGATAGTACTAGTAGCCAACTGGTGCATGTTTATGTGTGTGTGTTGTATAGTCAATGATAAATTATGAATGTTATGAAACTGAGAAATTCCACGCTTTGTCCATCCAAACATGAATTGCCATTGTTGCTCACTTAAGATTTCAAGTGCCAAATACATAAACATCCAAGAACCACAACTGCGGTTGAAGCTCAATATCAATGTCTTGGGATGTTTGGCATTGGAGTCAATTCAATGCCAAGGCCTTGAATATCTACATCCAAACAGAGCGTGAACGTTTTTGACAGTCATGAACATCTTTTTGATTCGTGAAACTTTTTTTTGAATATAAGTAACGTTTTAAAGTCATGAATAATTTTTAAATTCTCTTAAAAATTCTGTGGTGAACATTTTTTGAAGTCAAGGAATGTTTTGCATACTGTGAACATTTTTGTAATCTGAGAACATTTTTATATTTCTGAATTTCTTGATCCGTGGACATTTCGAAGTTCATCAACATTTTCTAAGGTTACAAACCTTTTTAAATTCTTCAACATGTTTCAAACTTTGTCAACCTTTTTTAAAATCCCATAATAATTTCTAAGGTGGAGAATATGTTTTAAACTCTGGAATAATTTACAAAACTTGAGACCAATTTTAAAAATTTGGGAACATTTTTAGAAAAGTTCCAATTTTTTTCTAAATTCATGATTATTGTTAAAAATTTCGTATGATTTTTCAAATTTTGGTGAAGATATCACATGTTTTCTTAAAAAAATAGAATATAGAAAACAAAAAACCTTCCATGTGTGTGTGTGGGGGGGGGTGTCATTTGGACGCCTACCCCTGGCTCAACTTGGAGCAGTTGGGGACTGCGACAAAGATGCCCCCACGGACTCTATGTCCATCATGGAGCCGCCTTCTCGCCTCATATACTATGGCCATGGCCAGCGCTTAGCCAAGCCTAGGGAATCATCGGCTCTTCAAAATCCTCCATCTCTCGCCAGAAATCTTACCAACCCTACAAACGAAAGAGAAAAGTAAGGGTACAAAGACACGTGGATAGACTCAGAGGCATGACTCAAGAAGCCTATACGTGGACACAAAGGGGGGAACATCATTCTTTGGATAAATTGAGAAAGGTAGGACTTGAATTGAACACCTTGGACCCTGCTACCATGTAAAGCTTTATGCACTAGCCAATGAATGTGAAACAAATTGTGACATGGTTTGACAAAGGCAGTAAAATAAAAACCCTAGGATGCTGGAGGGAGTATTAGAAATGCTATAGGCTGATGAAAGGTGAAAAGCAATGATAATGACCTGTCACACCGTGCAAGCAAAGCGGCAAGCATTATATTGTTAAAAAAGTCGCCTAATTCGATTCTGGTAACGGAAGAGGCCTCACGAGTCGGTGTAATAATTGATAAAGGAAGCCCAACAGAAGTCCATCGGTCGATCTCTTCGCAGACTCTGCGGGAGATCGAAACACCGCGCCCGCCTCCATCCGATCCGCCCCG